TAGAGGCTGCGGTGCATTTACGTGTCGGGACCCGGCCCGAGCTCAGCGTGAGCTCCCGCTATGCACTTGAGCATCTCTAATACCGAGGCGTTATCCAAACAAGCCCTGAGGCTGCTCTGTGTTATGTTTTGTTCCAGATTGCATCCCTCAGCACTATAAAGATGTAGCAAGTTTAATTGTTTGGTTTTGTTTTGTTTCCAGAAAGCGATTAAGGAGAAGGACATTCCCATTGAAGGGCTGGAGTTCATGGGCCCGAGCAAAGGAAAAACTGAAAACTCCTCCTGACCCCAGCTGTGTGGATGGAGTCACTCATATGGGCCTGTGGGCTAAGCAGCATCACCGGGTGTAAGACTGGACACCACCCAGATAAGACCTTTGTTAAGCTGCTTTCTAGGAAGCAAGGAATCTTCTCTGCTTGTAAAAACAAACAGCCACCAAAAAACAAAACCAAACTGGACCTTGTGGCAGCTGCTGCCTCATTTTCAAGGAATTTTGGTGGCGATTGAGCATCTAACAGCGTGAAAAGCCATTTGAACTAACTTCTTATTGAATGTACTTTATAATGGGTTGAAGTAGTAGTTGCTTTGTCATCGATTTCTCTTGCTTATTTATATAACACTTGAAAGTGTTTAAAAAGAATGTGAAGGAGGTTGATTTGTTCTGTCTTGTCTCTATGCTGCTGAATTTTGGTGGAAGAAGTTTGCTTTACACGATCCTGAATGCGGAGGGGCTAAAGCATTGTGTTGTATCTGCAGCAGGGATGGTAGAAAAGCACTTTATTGGACCTGCAATAACTTAGCTAAAATAAATATAACCAGGTTATATTTTGTTCAAGTAGATAACTGTCCAGTAGAATGTGATTGTGACCTCTAGAATAGGAAGTGGCCTGCAATAGAAGCTGAAGAGGACACTTTTAGTGCAGAGGCTACTTCTTCAGCCTTTCCTGAGGTACCAAAACAATCCTGAACTTGAATTCTTCCTCCATTAGCACTATGTGTTCCTGCAGTCAAACTGCAGCGCAGCCCTGGCTGTCATTTTCCACGCTACCACAAAGCACCAGGCTGGCCATGATGGCTGTTAAGACTTTAGCTTGTGGTAGTTACAGTGTGTGTTGAATGAGGGAAACACTGGGTTGAAGTTTGACAGCTGATAGTGATAAAAGCCCCAGCTGCTGCCTGGGGATCTCGCCTGCTCACAAAACTGCTCCTGAACTGTGTGTGCTTTACAGCTAGGAAAGCAAACAAAAGTTATTTGTGCTGGTTTATAAACTGCAGAAACACTCACAGCAACGAGAAAAAGGGTGTTTGGAAAAGCAAGGGATCAGGATCCATCCTGTCCAGTGGCCCTGTGAGCACTATGGCAGGGGAGGAGATTTCCCTTGATCCTCATCCAGGGATGGGCAAAAGCTGTGCCCTCTCGTTACACCAGTACAGGTGAAGGAGTGAAAAATACTATGGCCTGGGGACAAAAAAGAAGTTAACTTCCTAATTCTCCTAGAATTACAGTGAGGAAAAAAGTGAGCTTCACTCTCTTAGCTTTTAAGCACTGCCTGAAGGAACATTCAGAGGCTTTACTTTTTTTAAACATTAAAAAAAAAAAGGTGTGGTTCTCAAACATAATAGCTGGCTGGTCTGCACCAGAGCCCCTCAGCAATGACCCCAGACACCGAGAGTAGTGTGGGACTTGTGCAGAAGATCAGGAACTGCAGCAGGCTGGGGCTGTTTTCCTTTTGGGAAAAACAGTATTAATGACAGCTAAGACACAGCTCTCTGTTTCATACCATGTAAGTTGCAGAAGCAGACAGCAGCTTTCTGAAAAGCAAAGATGTGAGCAACATACATGCTGATATACTAGAAAATTTGAGACCTGAAGATGAGCATTGTGAAGGCACACAGGGCTTAATTAAACATTTTTGCTGCCACTCCTTCTCCCTAAGGGGCTAAGAGAAAATTGCCTTCATGACTGTTAATAAATATTGCAATAGCTGATTACAGAGGATGTGCTTCAGTATATACTGAATTTTAATCTACAGTGTTAGCCTGATACCTGTTCATCTGGCTGTGAGCTGTAGGGTTACAGTGATCAGTTAAACCAGACATGAAGAATATGAAATTGAGTGATGTCCTATGCAGTGTGTTCCTGTTATTAGTGTTATCTGATACAGGGGCAGGTACTGACATCCTGTGGGAAGCCTCAGTGTTTTAAGCAAAGACTGATCTAAAGAACTTCCAAGGATTCAGATTAACAAAAAAGACAGATCCTAAATTCATGTTCAGAGTTGTTTATTTAAAGGACCTCTACACAAGTACAGACAGAGGCCACAACATCATTCAGCTTCACCATAAAAGGAATGTGGAGTTTCTGAAATGATGGTTCCCTAAACGATGGTTCCCACACAACATTCTGGTCCAGGACGGAAGAGCCAACGTTCTGGCTGTGGTCAGGATCTCAGTTTTCATCTTCATAACCGGTTGGGAGAGCATTAACGTGGGGGTTGTGGAATAGAGTTTTGTTCCCATCACCCCAAGGGAAAGGCTGTTGAAAGAAGAAAGAAAATAAGCCAGTGGCACTAGCTGAATGCTCTGTACAGCACAGGAAATCAGCAGCAATAAGGACTCAAATGATGGGCTGATGAATTAAGTAAGCTGGCAGCCGTTCCTGGGCTGCAGGAAGTAGGAGTTGGAAGATGGTCTCCCTTAGCTGGGAGCCACTGTCTCCAGACAACACAATCTTTGCTCCTGCTTAAACATCAACGGTGCTATACTGTGGGACCCCAGTTTTGAGCATTTGGGATCCCCTCTGTTAGCTTTTAGATCTGCATGAGTTTAAGGTTAAGTACAGCAGCTCTAGGACTGGTAATTTTTCAGCAAGATGTTAGCAGGATAACTTGGGGGTGGGAAGGTCTGTGGATACCATGGGTATTTTATTTGAGCTGTGAAAAACTTGCTGCCTCAAAACCAAAGCCATGAGTTAAGATCATGGCTACATGGACAGCACCTGCGTCGTAGGGAGGAAAACAAGAGACACTGTATTGTAGTAATGTCAGGTGAAGCTCTGCAAGCACAGAAAACAAGAGCCTTAAAGGGAGCAGGGGAACGTACCTTGGTCCTGATCCGGAGGTGAGCGTAAGGAACAAACTCGGGTCTCTCGTGCTCTTGCTGCGCTTTCAAGTAGCAGTTGAGCATGCAAACGCCAACGCCGGGCAGAGCCACCACGAAGCTCAGGAGCCTCCACAGGCGGGCTGGTAGGAAGCGGTACATCGGTTAGAACACAAGCCACCATTTCCATCAGCGCTAGGGCCCCGGGCGCGCGCTACATGCAATTAGTACGTTAATGAGGAATCGCCCCCCACGTCCCTCACCGCAGCGGGGGGCTCCCCCCTCCCGCGGGGATCTCTGACACAGCCCTCC